CATAATTGAGAATCTACAAATGAACATGTATTTTGAAAAACCACATTCCTCTCCCTCTCCCATTTAAACTCCATATGAACTCACCAGGTAATTAACATTATAAACTGCAGGAGCACAGAGTAACTAATGAAGACAACCACCTTCTCTCTTTAATGAGAAAACTTCAGTGTGTCAAAATACCTTGAAACTAAGAAGATATTTGTACGGAAAAAATTATAATTGGTAGTGGGTCCCACGTAGCCAAATTACGGCTCAAATCCAATCACTAAATTGCCATATGCTCTGTTCCAAGCAATCAGCCAGTTCCCCACCACAACTCTCCAGAAATAACTGTGCCTTGCAATGGCCCAGCTGGACATTTGAAATGTTCCACAAAGGTCTGGTGCCATCCATTTGGTGGAACAGGATATCATATCATCACAGTCCTTGCAAATTCACCGAATTCTTTATTTTTTGAGACCAAATGTTGAAAAAGAATAACAAATGCCATCACAAAATTCTGAGAATGTAAACAACTGCAAAGTACCATTGTCGATATTTATAGGAAGCACTAATGGAACTCAGAAAAGTCACACATCTCTAGGTTTTCCCCTTAATTTACCCATTTGAAGACAAAGATCTATAATACATATAAAATGCACTCAAACTATTAGGCAATATCTTCTTCCCAGTTTAAAACTGGGATCAGTTTTCACTCCTTGCCCACACAGAAGCCCTTAGAGATTCACCAGGAAACAGACACCCATTCTCTGACTGAATGTCCTATTTTCTCAGGGATTTACAAAAAATTCCTTCCCAAGCCCTAGATTGAATGTTCTCTTCTTGAGGTGTATATCCCAACAGGCCTCAAGCAAGGCTTGACTAACAGACATATAAATATTCAATGATAATAATTCAAGTGTTTTAAGTTAGACTATAGCTAAAAGATGAGAATAGCCCTAAAAGCAGGGACCAGAAAACGAGTCTTCTGTTCCTGCCAGTGCCTGGAGCACAGGTATGAAGCCCCTGTTCTTCTTCGCCTTTTTCAGAGGGTACCCTGACACATGGGCAGACACCAAGGGGCTTAGGATCCAGAGGTCAGCTGGAGAGACCTTCTCTCTGCACCTGGGAGACCTTTTTCAGATGTGGCAAGGTGAAGGGCTTCAGTCTGCTCCTGAAGAATACTTCAAACACAGAACAAAGGTGCACACCAACACACAACCATTCTCATGGGTTCCTTACATGAGGTGAAGCCCAGCTTAATCATTTTGCCTTGCTCATCCAACCACACTCACAGTCCTTTATGGTCACTGGATGGAGAGGAACAGTGTCAAATCAGGAAACAAACAATACTTTGCACTGGACTGAGGTCTTCAGCAGAACTGGAATTCTCCATTATTCCTCTATTTGCTGTCTAAGTATTGGTAGCTATAATGGGCCAGCTGAAAAGGACTTCTGCTGCAGAGCAAGTGGCTCTATGGACTCTAATCACTTTCTTTTGTGTTTTTGTTTTCTTTTAAACAAGCATCAGATTTTTGACACTTTAACTGAAAAATAGCATTTAAAAGCGAAAACAGCCCAGTGAAATCAATTAAATACTTTCCCCTCTTCTCCAAATACACAGAAAACAAAATTCTCCTCAAATACTCCAATTTTCACAACACAGTTCAACAATATTCTCTCTGTACCTAATTGCTGAAAACATGACCGAAGAGTACAATAAGAACTCAGGAACATTTGGCTGGATTAATTAAATCCTTGTTTTTCATAAGGAGAATTTACTCTGACGTACTTCAAATTTCAAATTTCCCAATATCAAATCCCCTCAGTCACAGTATGAACTCTGTGACATATTTCAAAAGCACATTCCTCTGAACTTCACAGAAATTCAGGTCATCTACTGTATGTATTTACATATCTCTGCTTCTGATCAGCCTAGAGTACACAGGCCTACTGTATTTGCCTATTTGCATAATTAGAAATGCAAAACATATCCTCTCTGAAACTACTACAGACACAGAAGTACATTAGGAGCCTCAGATTTGGACTTTTTGCAAATAACTCTGGAAGTCATGCCAAGGCAAAGCAGAAAACTTGGGCTATTCTCCTCTCCAGGCCTAGTTAATAAGATTGCTTTTACAGAACAAAAGAACAAAGCATAAATATTTAATTCTCATGACATACAAATGCTGTATTGTTTTCCTGTTGGTACGGACAACGCTCCTGTAGAAGGTTTTTATTTGCTATCCAATCAGTAGATTATCATAAGTACAATCTGCCACCTCTGCATTTGAGGAGATGGTGAAGACCAGACAGGCATTTGTGTTTTAGCAAGGGTGGGAATACTTTGGGTTGGTGGAAATGCATTATCTTTCTCACCAAGTCAGGTCACAGAGTATAGTTCAGCTGTTATTTGCAAGACTTCAAATCAGCAACATAATTCTTAAAAGTAATTTTATTCTTATGGTATTATTTTATAAATAAATAATGCGAATTAGTATTTAATTGTCTGAACCTGAGATTTTAATTGTTCACCTACCAGTATGGGAAATCTCTTGGCAGCTCTGGAGGCTGTGTGAAAATTAAATTTTTTGTTTAATTATAAATTGGTTCTGCTGTAATAGTGGAGGCTTTAATTGAAATATTTTAATTAAGTGTTCGAAGCAACACAATGCTGGGTTTTTGCTAGAGACTAGCTTATCTAAGTGTCACGAGTTTCACATTTACTCAGCTCCTGTGCTGAACATACACACTGCTACATAACCAACTGTAACTGCTGCTCCTGCCTTGGTAACGGCAAGCAAAAAGACAAGCAGCGAGTGCATCCAACTGCACACCTTAGACCATGTTAATAATCTGGGCAGTAAAACGAGGTGGTCAGGACTTTTTAAAAATAATGAAAGTGAGTGAAAGAAAGATAACAGTTGTAGCATCTTGTTCAAAATATATCTTCACAGATACATTTCCTCTCTTCTGGCAACCCTCCCAGGAGGAACAAGTGGCAGACAGGGATATCAGATTGCTCTCCAGTGGACAGCCAGGCTATAGCAGAACATATGCAGGGAATGCTGCTCCCTTCTTCTCCAGACCGGATATAAACACTGAAAGCACTTGGAGAGCTCATAAATAGCAATAACAACACTATTAAGATTTCAGGAGTGTGGGGAAGGGAGAAGGGTTGAATGCCTTTTAACAGATTAATCTCCACATTTGAACATTGCAGAAACAATATGATTGGTCTCTCGGGCCCCTCCTGATGACACTGACAGTAAAGAAATGGGATCTACAAGTACAGAGGAAATCCAGAACAACAGCAGCAGAATTTCATACTTGGAAAACAGTCTTTACCCAAAACCTCTGAAGCAGGACATCAGTATGTCCTGCCACCTCTGATGATCTAGCCACCAAGATCTGTATGGCTGCTTTGAGAACTAGGCTATAAAACAGTTTATCTGTTATCACTGTGTTGGGTAAAAAAACCCTAAGCCACCTAAGTTTTCAAGTGCTAATACATACGAAAACTGCCTCTGCAATATAACAAATCAACTAAAAATCATTTATACTTCATTGCAGATCACATCAACCAAGTTGTTTGCAAGGAAACCACATGAGAATCAAAAGAGGCAATGAAGAGTTAAAAAGGAAAGATACTGAAATATATGCCTAGGTTGACAAGATTTGTGGAGAACTTTCCATGCATTGCAATAGCAGGAAAATACTCAGTTAAAAAAAGCCCTCTTCCTTTCTACTAAATAGTGCCCTCTCTGATCAAATAGCCTAAGATTGAACAACAGATAGCTACAACAAGGTTCCACTGTATTTGACAGTGGATTAATTAAATTACAGAAGAACATACTGATTCACACAACATATCTTGCCTCCAGCAGAGAACACTTAGGAAGAAAAGAGAGGAGGACAAACACTTAGTGCAATTATGTAAAAGAGACAGACAAAATGTTATTTCATAGAACAAGTAATGTCTGGGTCAAGTAACTAGGTAGAGTAACACTTCAAAATGTAAGGGTGGAGAACCGCAGGGTGTTTCTTGCCCTATTTCTCTCATATTCTTGTTCTGTCATGGCTAGTACAATTCATTCTGACTGTCCAAAGGAGAAAAAGCTCGCCAAATAATTTTAGAAGCCAAGAGAGAGAGATTAACAGAGGAAATTTGTAGGTCTGTGCTTCAACATCCACCTTCTCCAATTTCCCCTTCTTCCATCTAAAATGTGTAACACAGCTGTTATGAAACCACATGTTGTAGTGGTAAAAAAACACTGTTCTTTTAAAATCTCTGAGTTGAGAACATGGCCAGAATCGTGCCTGAAAGCTGAAGAGGCTTGTCGGAGTTTGCGGGATAAAAATTTCAAGAAAATTAAGAAATTCTCAGCTGGTAGAGAGCACTTTAGCTTCTTTAATCCACATTGCTATGCTGATCCACACCAGCTGAAAATCTGAACCTTCTTTTGTACTGGACTATTTTTAAGTAGCTAAACTCCAGCCTTGAGAACAATTGTTTAACCCTGTGATACGGTCCTGAAAGACAAGTACAGTGCAAGTAAAAAGGAGCCATCACCAACATGCCCCAGTCACTCACAGAATCCTTCATGTGCCCATCAGTTCCTATTAGTGCTATCGCATTACCTACAGCTGTTCCTGAGTCTCTGCTGGAGCTACAAGATACAGAGCAACCCCCCCAAAACCAGCAGCCTTTTTGCTTTTAACATTCCCTCTTGCTCAGACCCCTTATGTGTTTTCTATTAGTCACCTTGGTGGCCTGTAACATAATCACTCCGTGAGGGCAAGATGTAACCCCGGCTTCTGTGTCACATGTGACCCAATCTCTTCTTCCATCACTTACTCTCCCCAAGAAAACATATCTTTTCCCATCAGGAGATTTCCTTGGACTCCATGTTGAGAAAAAATTCCCTGGCAGCACCTAGATCTATTAAATCATACAAACCCAAGCTTTGGGAACAAAACTGGGTCTGTCAGATGGCTGATGTCACCTCTCAGGCACTCACCAGGGTGACAATGGCACATTCAGCAGTCAGTTGAGCAGCACTGAACAGCGTCCGAACGAAGCGGTAAATCTGTTTCTGCTCTGGGTCGTGTTTGTCATAGTCTGGTGGCACTTCGGATTTCTAAGGAAGAAATACTTCCAAATAGGTGACTGAAACAAAATGAAGCAGACAGAAAGAAAGACAGTTCACATGAAAAGGAAGAAGAGGCAGATGAACTTACCGAAAGGGGATGAAGGTTTTCATCAAAAATATCTAAGAGCATTCTTCCGTCTGTGTCCCTAAAAAGTATTAAAACCAAAGCCGTGTTATTATCTGAACATGACAGCATGCAGCTCTCACAGGCACGTGTGTACTGCTAAAGCTCCAGTACTCCTCATGCTGCACGGTGCTCAGAAACGGTGCAGAAATGGCATTTTCAAGTAGAGGTGGGTCCTATTCTGACGTATGGCTCACATGTAATATGAAATCAATAGTACAAGGTACACTAAAATTTTCAGCTTTCAGTGCCTAAGGTACAGCTTTTGTGCACTCTCCTGTGAGGCTTTCATAGTACTGCTATAACTTACAATAAAATCAGCCCATCTTACTCTCCTTTTCTTAACTTCATCATGTTAATCCTTGCAGTCTCTTAATTCTTCCTCTTTTATTGTCAACTTCATGAATCTTTGCAAATATGCAATGCTTTTTACAGTTATCCTTTAGCTAATACAAACATACATTTTTAATTTATTTGGAAAATCCTATCCTACTATTGATTTCTGATATCAAACAGGAGTACATTTAAAAAAAAAAAAAAAAAATAATATTCCAGTTCACTGGTTTTAAGTTGATGCAATTTTGTAAGCCTAAGACTCAGTATGCAATGTAAAGACTTTTGCTGTGTGCAGTCTTGGCAGGAACACCAACAATCACAGAAACGAGTGGTGTAGCAGTACCAGTTAGAACTGGTCACTTTCTGGAAAGATGCATCCATGTGACCTACTTATTACAATCCCATCTTTATTTATAGCATCCCTGGTACTCTGGTTATAGAGTTCTTAAGAAAGAAACCACTGAATGGGTTTTACATCTTTACTCAACAGCACGTGCCTCAGAGCATGCAAACCTGAGTTTTATAGTGAATTCTTGTCTACAAAATGTACTTAATAGCACCTAACATTTAAACCTCAATATCTGAAGATGACATTTTTTCTGCTATAAAGCCTGCTACAGCTGGAAAAACCATTTTTAAAAAAGTATCTAAATCAAAACAAACAAAAAAAAAACCCCACGTTGTTATAATTACTAGAAAATTCCTAATAAGCCAGGATTTTAGGCCAGACATTTTTTACACCCACATAAAAAGGCTGGTATCTTAATGTAGACGTAATCTCACTGGAAACACTGATGTACTACAGCAAACTGAATTTCCTATCTTATTTTTTCATGCTGTACCTGCTGCATGCTATGAAGGTACATATGATTGCCCTCAAAAAATCTATTACAGCAAGAAAAAAAAAAAAAAAAGAGGTTGATAGATTTTCATCTTCATTAGAACAAATTCACATTGCTTTATTTAAAAAATGAACCATCTACTAACTGATCTAAACATTTTTCATGTTTAGTTTGTTGGGATTTATTTTATATATTGATTCAGCAAGTTCACCAATACTCATGTATAGGTGTAGCCTTTTACCACTTGTCAAATAGCTAAGCACAGCAAAAGCTGCAGAAAGCAAATCAATGTAACAATGACAGGAGACATTGGGAAAAGAAGGAAGGACAACTGGAATGTTTCAATCAATTGAAATGCGGAAAACATGAAGGAATACTCTATTTCATGTATAGTTCCTAAAAAAAAAAAAAGGGATTGGTGAAAGTTTGGAATAATAGGAAGCAATCTGGTTTTAAGCCTACTATGCAGGAGAAAAGATCAACTGAACACTGTCTGAAAAGGATTATCCTCTGGCAAAGCAGGTGCTTGATTCATTTGCTGTCAAAATCAACCTTGAGTCTATATAACAGTTACAGTGGCTTCTTACTCGTCAACCCCTATAATGAACCAAAATCTACCATGTATGCCAACAACTCCCTTTTTGCCTATAATGGCAGGAAGCAGAACATGTTTTGCTGTTGCTGTTTCAGCAGCAAGTTGTTATCACATTGTCCCTCTGTTCCCAAGTCAGAGACAACCAAAGACAGGACGTGTATTTCAGAGTCACTAACCGACCCCCACGAGCCTGCTCCAGTATCACCAGCAAGACCATCCATCCTGAGCACAGCAGAGGGCACATTTACACCACACCTTCCACCACAGGCAGCTCCAGGAGGGAGAAGCAGTAACCCGTTCTTCCTGAGTAAATCACCCCTCCATTCCAAAAGCAAAAGGACTGACAGCAAGTTTCCCAAGAAGATAACATTCAGAATGCATCTGCTTTCAAGACACTGACATAGGACTCTATCTTGTAAAGGTTTAGCGTCTCTGATTACTAGTTGTAGGTCAAAATTACATCAAGTTCTGCAAGATGGGCATATATTTACTGCAGACAGAAATCATCTCCATGGCAATTGGCACCAAGCAAGTCTGCTGTACTTTGGATCTGGATTCCTCCTGCTTGACTGTGAGCTCTTACGGAAGTTCCTCACCCTTCATTGTCCCTGATGTGCCCCATTATCCTGAGCCTTTTACTTGGCTGGCACGATACTTAACATGAGTCAAGAGCACTTAAGAATAACTTTATTTCCACAAAATTTTAGAGTCTGAATATCTTTGAGATCTCTATTATTTAGTCAAGCATAGTAAAAATTGACTAGTTAGCAAAACTAAGCTAGGGACAATGGAGGAAAGAGGAAAAATGGAACCATAGATGGATTAACAAGTGGAATCCACGCATGATCAGTAATGCCTCACATCCTGGGAAATGAGATTAAAAAGTCTGCAAAAAGATTTCACTTCAACTTTTGCTTTACATATTGTCATGTTTCAGTCCAAGGCCCACTGATACCTTGGAAAAGTCCTTGAAGAGCTTTCAACAGGGATCAAGCTGTAAGACTTTCTGCCCTTGTGCACTTCTAAAGGTTTCTCTTTAGATGTCAGCCTTGTTTCAAGAAGCATAATTGGTTCCAGTGACCTGAAACATGGTCCCAAATGACGTACTAGCTTAACTTTAAACTTATGAGTAATTCCTTTTGTTCTAGTTGGATGTCTTGGAGTCCAGAAGAAAAAACATGTAACTGGCTTGTTAGATCAAGATCTAAGCCAAGTTCTCTGAAAAGATACATTGAAAAGCCACGGACACAAAAGTCACTTAAAGTATTTGTACTATCTCTACTACAAATGGAAATATTATTTTATGATAGGATGATATTTTATATATCACGAGGACAGAGATTTAAGATACAGAAGCTCCATTCAACATGAAGAAAGCTAATGTATGCGCCAAGTTACTTTTTAGAGAACCTGTTTTCTACTCTATTTCAATCCACTTAACCGAGTAGAGATCTAAAACATACTATACCAGAAGAGATAAGCCAGGACCTGCTCTTTTTCTGAAGCATCTTGAATTACATCTATTCACAATGTAACTATTACTGTATAATTATTGGCATTTATTTCAAAATCCATTAACTGAATTACACAGTTAACTCTATAAAGGTGTAGCTAAAAAATAAAACTGAAGTGCACTCAAGATTCTCTGTACGTAACTGCAACACATGCAACAATGCAGAAATTCCCAGTGCACATAAAAGCAAACACTGAATCAAAGTTTTTAAATGCTGAGCTGTACTTCTAGATCTTTGTGGTATGTATTCCTACCATTGTTATTTTTATAAGCAAAATAATAGATATAAAAATACAAGAGAATATATTTTCTCATTTCTAGCATGGGAAGTAAGAAAACTACTACCAAATAAACATCCTGAAAGAAACAGAGCATGGATTTTTAGGGTTTGGGCAGTTCATCTGTTTTAATTAAAGATATCTTCAGTACAAGCTTCCATTATTCACATACCTGTTTTTGATGTGGTAATATATTGCAAGAGCTACACTGTAAAAAGAAACACAGAGTTAACATGTGAGGACAGTCAAATGATAGCATTTGTCATATTAACATGCAAATTTAAAATCTAGCATAATGTATAGCAAAAAGAATGCTCAACAGCCTGTTTTCTTCACTGTTAGATACCTGGAAAACAGCTGTCAACAGATAACTTTATAATATTTATAAATAATATTGCATTTACAATAAGGAGGCACTCTCCAAGTGCCTCATTCTCACTAGTAATGAAATACCTTCCAAAAACACTCCTACTTCAAATACCAAGTTACACATACCTTTTATTTAGCGCCCTACTTCGCTCAAGTCAAACTCCTACTGACTTCCAAGGTTTAACACAAAGCATCACAGGCATTGAACATTCTCCTTTATTGTTTGCTAATGCTGCCAAGCTAACATGAAATGTTTTAATCACCATTGGCTTATGATTTTATATTTAAATCCATTAACTTTTGGCTGTCTTTCTATGTAGTTACTCACGTACCAGACTCGAATACCAGGCTCCTACAGTTTTATGGCCTCGAGTTACTTATTTTAACTCAGGAAAGGCAACTCCCTGAATAACTGACTGCAGTATGCATTTCCCATGTTCTCAACCAGAGACCAAAGTACCCCTGTTTACATTCTGCACAAAGACAGAAAGTACCCTTATACTCGCAGAGAGCTCAGGTTTTAATTACAGATACAACTAACTGGTCTCGTTCACATTTGAGACTGAAAAAAAGTAAGACATGGCTTCTCATGGTTATTCTCCAGTTTCCAACTCACAATTCCAGCTTTATCGAAGGAGAGTTTTATGGAAGGATAAATCAGCATTGGCACCCTCTCTACTTGTTCCAGTAGCATAAAATCCAGCCAAAGCTAAAGGGGAAGGAGGAGGGAGTTCACTGATTCTATTTGTTAACAATTTGTCTTGCCAGTGATTCACCGCATGATGCTTGTGTCTCACACTGATGCAAAATTCCCCTTCTTTTCTTTTCCATAAAAGGCCTTTTAAAAGAATCAAGAGGTTGCTCTGTAATTTTATTCCAGAAATTTTAGATGAAAACTGACATACTGCATTGTAGGAAAACACTATGTTGAAGCTACTCCGTTAGTAGAATTTAAGATTATTTCAGGTTTGGTTGGGGTTTTTTTTTTGTTTGTTTGTGGTTTTGTTTATTTGTTTGTTTTTTAAACAGCTGTGTAGTAGAAAATATTTTTTCTTACTTGAAAGTAAATATATTTTACTAACTTTGTATAAGCACTATAGCTTTTACCTGACTGCATTACATGTTTTTAGATCATAAATGTTTTTTAGACTAGATTTTGTATATAAATACATACTTAAGGGATTAAGAGATACTGTGTACCATGGATATTTAAGGGACATAGTCCTCACTGAACACAAGAAACACATTTATGTATGAATTTAGTTTGCTGAAAGCTATTCACAAAATGAATTAGTCCTAAAATTTAATTTTAAATTATGGCCTTAGGAACGCACTTGCATCTCCAGTTCATTTTATGAAAGCAGATGCAAGAATCTATGTGCACAGCTCCACTTGGTGCCCATATGGTTGCTTCTGTAACTAAACGTCAAATTAACTTTAGAAAATATTTACTATTTAGAAATCTGTATCAGAATCTGGTAGTCTTTCAGAGCTGTAAAAGATTAACACAGATCCAAGCTTCATTCTGCTTCTCGTAGACTGGTTCAGCTAGCACTCCAAGTGCAGGAAAGATGCTTATGGAGTTTTCCAGCACCCCACCCTAGTGACCGATGCTGTAGATCTCCAGTAGATGCACTAGTATTTTAAACACATCAGTGCATAACACGACTGAGAAGAAATAAATGCGCTGGCCAAAATACATCTCTCGGAGATATAGCTACATACGCTAGTCACTTATCTGCAGAGACTGACAGGATGGGGTGCAAGAAGGGAAGCTGCGCTACAAAAGCAGTAATCTTGCAATCTCCTCACCCTTTAATCTGTGCAGCCAGACATGAAAGAAGAGGAGGCCCTACATGCCAGAGTCCAGTTTCTTACCCCACATAACCCCTTTTCAAACTCTCTGACTCCTTGCAGGTTCCAACCCTTCCCACTCTGGCAGCTTGGCCCCAGTCCTGCACAACTCCCCTCACTCCTCCAGCCTGATGTGCACCCTCGCCCCTACAGCTCCGTCCCCTGCCATGCACCCCAGATGTCTCTCAAACATCACCACCTTGCTCCCCCCAGGCTGCCTCCTCTTTCACAAGGCTACTGCTGGCCACTGCGGTCTGCTGAGTATTCTTCTTGGCTGCTGCAGCCAACAGAACCCATCTCTTCCTTTCATGAGCAGATTCAGTTCTGATGCAAAAAGGGACTCAAAACCCACCCAAAAGGCTCTCTTATAGAAATCTGCATGCAAAGGATTTTAGAGCAGAAGAGTATGAGATTCCAGAAGGAAAATAAAAGGTGTCAATCTGACTGCAAATCTCTTCTCCACTCCCTTCTTTTTTCCTCAAAAAGAAAAATTAAGAACATGTTTTAATGGCACCAACTCCTTTGGACACCTTAGTGTGAATATGGTCGGCTCTCATAAGTACCTCTGTAGCACAGACTTTCGTCTTCATAGATTTTTGCATTTGAGTACACCAAGATAACCATCCTACAAATAACTCAAGAGAGTATCAATCATAGCAAACAAAGTACTTGAGCATTTGTTCTCTTACTTTTCCCCCTTGCGGTACAAAACATACAGAACAATACTCTATAAATATCAATTTAATTTCCCTCCAAATGTAAAGAGGTACCACTGAAACCTGAAATGACCAACTGAGACATCACCCAAGTTATGGTAAGCCCATGTGCACACCACATACAAAGCTCCCCACTGCTGTGTAATAAACTGCCAGTACTCTTATACTCAACAAGGATATGAATTTGGAGGCAATTGATTTCCATTTCAAACAGAAAACCAAAAGGAAAGCTTAGCAAATGAGCATGAACAGAAAAGGGCTCTTCATTTTTAGATAATTCCAAAATTCTGAATATATATGTTCTGAGTACTCATCCAAATCAAGAACCCTGTTGAACATTGAAGCACAAGGATTTCAGTTGCTAGAATTTGCGATACTTAATTTGTACTTTCTGTTGAGACACACAGTACTGGGAGGTTGATTCTGCACTGACCTAAACTAAGAGTAATACCCTTTGTTCATCCTATTCACTGCCTCTGGAGCATGATTGGATTAAGCAACTTTACTACTTAAACCCTAGAACTTTTGAAGCTTGGTTATTAATGGTTCAGAAATATGTATACCTAAATACACATCTATAATGTAGGTAGAAAAAAAAAAATTTATAAAACCCACCATTTGATAGTATACTTGAGGTTTGGTTGACTGACTGTGCTGTCATCCAGGAAAATAGTGGAGCAGGAACTGTATTTCCTTCGCAACTGCCCAGGAGGATGCTATGAAAAACATACAAAAGAACAATGGCAATTATGTAATACCAAAGCATTTTTCTGAGGAGCTGTAAGAATTTCTAAAAAATAACTGTCTCTGTCTCTCACAATGACGCACACAGTAATGTGATCATGTTTTGAAGCAGTTCAGAAAGTTCAGAAATAATTACCAGTGCAAAAGTCACAACAGTCTCTGCCTGAGCCTTGACTAGGGCTTTTATATCCCAGTCTCCCCTCCATCCCTGCTCCCCCAAGACCATGCAAAAACTTTTACGCAGAATTACTCAAATACATACACACATTTGGAAAGCAAAGATGAACACGACCTATCTTTACGTCCTCATTTGAAAAGAGTAAGTGGAAGAGTGAAAAAGAAGTTGTGCTAACAATGAAGATTGATTTAAAAACAGATCTAAAACTGTGCTTGGAGAAAAAGGAATTAAAAAAAAAAAAGCAAACTATCAATCAAACTTAAATCTACTAAAACCTCTAAAAATTAAAGGAAAAAATTAAGAAAAAAATAATTCATGAAGAATAGACTTATGAGACAGGAATAAAATTGATCAAAGGATGTAAGAGAAAATGGATAGACAAAAAAGAAACATATCTCTTCATAGGAAATGTTTTCAACAGATTTCAATCCTATTTCTGTGCTACTGTAGGAAAACACTGGAAAGATCAACCACAAAATGACATTTGACAACACTACTTATTTCTGAAGACTTTTTGTTGAAAGGCCTTCTCCTTCAGCTGCTTAGAGCAGCCAGCACTCCACTGGTCTAAAGGGAATAGTTTCATTATATCAGCTAATAGCTATCACACTCATTAATGATCTTTGATTTTATCCTTGCTTATTCTACCTACACTAGTGAATAGCTTGACCAACAACCTGAGACAGGAAAGTTAAGACCAGTCAAATTACATGTTTAACTTCAACAAAATAAGTTTAAAATTCAGTTGGCACATCGACACGGAAATTTCAGTTTGCCTTATAATGAATGTTGTTTTGTGTTTCAGTGGAAAGACCCATGTCAACACCATTGGTGTAATCCACAGGCATGCACCAGCTCAGAGCAACTGAGTATCTAGGCTGCATCCTGTGACTCCTACTTCAATACATATTACCCTGCCTAATTTTCAAAATAGGTATTATTGTAAGTGCCTGCACTCCATCATCTCACTAATGTCTCCTTTTCCATAGGCAGCAGAATTCTTAGCAGCATTTTTTAAACAGAGAACAGGTTGACTCCTGGTAAAACCTACATGCATCTGAGTCACCTTTCTATTTATCCCATTTATGCCTAAAAGAGCATTCAAAGTCTTGTGTTAATTGAAAAAAAAAAAAAAAAAAAAAAAAGTCATTTACTGAAGCTGTTACAGTATGTTCAAATTATTTTAAAGTTTACTAACAAATTCTGTCAAGGTCCCTCACTTAATCAATAAAATCATAGGCAGAATTGCTTTTCTTGAAAGTGGAAAATGTTTACCAAGAAAATTAAAACTATCCCCTCTCAAATATTCTCCAGGAGTTTGGGAAGGCACTTTGTAATAATTTGGAAGCTCACAATCCATCAGCATTCCAAGCTATTATATGTTAAGCAAGGCACCAAGCAGAAAATTTAGAAGCACTGGAAGCATATAGAATTGCCATAGAATACATTATCTAGCATTGATGTGTACAAAGAGAATTACTAGGGGACTGGTGATTTATTCTGCCACAGTTCAGTTCAAATTTTGGGATTATTCTGTTAAACACATTCCACGGGCACAATAAAGGCAAAGCAACTTAAAATCAGCTGAAAATGAGACGGTTTAGTGGCTGGAGAAATGGGAGAGGTGTAGACATTTCAGCATCACTTCAAAAAAAAAAAAGGTACATGGGAAGTTTTAATTCTACATTCTAAGTGCCAACATGTTTTAAAGGCTTAGATAAAATTTAAGATAAAAGGACTGGATTAGTTCAAGGCAAGCATGAGTAAGAAACAAAACAATTCTGTAGCAACATCACTATCAGATCTAAATTTCCTTATGTAAACAGCACTCTAACATATGATACATGCCAATAATCAGAGCCACGCACCTTATTTCTGAAACTACCACAACACAGAATTCTCCACATTTTTCAGCCCACATCACACTTCCTCAGGCTTAGAACTTTTCACACTTCAGAAAAATATGTGGTGTCTCATGCCTCAGTTTCTGTTCCTAACTTGGCAGGAGGGCCTACCTTTCACAGGCTAAAGAATGGTGCCAAGTGCAAGCCCTACTTTCCTGGGTATATACACACACTTGTGCCATGTGAATAACTAACCTATTGGTAGATCAACATCCCCAGCTTTGGCCCTGACATTCAGCTGCAGTCACATGGTATGCCAGGTGACAGATTTTCTGCCTTTTCCAAAATACTGGAAAAGATCCTCAGTTTCACAGACTAGCTTCACTAATCTGGAAGACATCTACAGCCCCATAGTCTAGTCAAATAGGCTTCTCTGAACCTCAGTAAAATGCTGCACAGGAACTTGCTCCTTGCAAAGGACAAAAGACGTAGCTGAGCGTCACCTCTGTATTCAGCACTGCTGTACAGAAACCCCCCCCTCTTTGCCCATTTCAATGGGATGAGTCTACACCTGAAACTGTAGAGGAGCTTAACGCCTTCACGTTTCAAATCCATTACAGCTGACCACAAAAATCTTCCATTTAGGCAAGACAGAGAAACTCTAACCAAGGAAAATTAAAAGGGTTGAGAAAGACTATATAGCCTTTGATGAAACTAACCAAACCCTCCAACATTCATGGGATCCTTCTCAGGTTCTGTCCCATTGCTAAGGCTGACAGAGGATAAAGAAAGGACTGGTATAGCTCCTTTTGAGCAGTAACTATTGCTCATAACTGAGCAATAACTTTGCTAACAGAATCAAGGTATTTTTTTACTCAATTTGCAGGTGGCTTTAACTTGTAGAGGACTCCTCTGTAAAAAAAAAAAAAAAAAAAGGAAAATATCAAATAGGATTTATATTTACCATGTATACAACATCCTTCCACTCTGCTCAGATGGCATTTTATATCTACTTTTTACCACTGTACTTCAAGAAAGACGAATTCACTTCAGAGTCCGTGAGGAGGACAGAGCAGCAAGATTAATCAGAGGTTTGAAAAACCTGATTTAGAAGGAAGAACTGCAAGAGTGGAGGTTTTCTCCTAGAACAGAGCAACAATAATGGCCTTAAGTCACGTTGAAGTGAGCTCAAAAGAAGACATCATTGTTCTCCATGATCATTGTGGGTGTGCTAAGAAAGAGCAGGCTTATACTGAACTAGGGAAAAATTAAGATAGGATATGGAAGTGTGAGAGGAGGTGATGGCAAAGAATACCTGCCCAAACCAACACCTTTTTCTAATAGCAGAGATAGTTTGAATGATTTGAGCAGTGATAGAATCTCCATCACGAAAAGCTACAAAGAAGAGGTAAAATGAACATATGCCAGGAATAGCTTAGATGCAGGTTTCTGCTCTTAGGCAAAAAAAACAGACTGAACAATTTCTTGAGATGAATCCTGGATCAATTTACTATTATTTTTAAATTTCTTTTGGTGGAGGTGATTTGTAGCTCTTTGCTCCAGAAACAGTTGTTATTTTTCTCATTTCAACCAAAGGCACTCATTAAGAAATGCTGACACAATAAGTTACAATGAATACATAATTGCTGTTTTGTGGAATATGTTTCTTTACAGGAAAAGATATATAACAGAAAAAACTGCTTTAGAACTTGCTAAGGTTTTCCATGCATTACAGCATGATCTAAGAGATCAAGATTCAATGTACTTCCATCAATGCCAGATGTCTCCAGCTCTTCAGGAAAAGCAGGTTTTCCCTCCTGCACAGATAGGACACTGCTTTTTCACCAAGCTTCATCTTGAAACTTTCCAACTTTCCAAACCACATTTGCTTTAAGATATCTGAACAAGGATTTACTTGAAGTTTACAGAAAATATATCAGAAACAGAATGGCTTAGTTTGTCATTCAAAATCATATGAACTCTGCAGAACTGCTTCTATGTACCTGCTGAAAGGAATCACAACAATGCCTAACTAATTCACAATGGGAATATACTAAAGGATAAATTTCTTTCAGCCTTCCTTTCAGCATCACTTAGAAATTAAACCTAAATTTGTGGGGAAAGAGCAAGTGTTACTATTTCTTTTGTTGAAATAGTAATTTCAGGGTGATTTGGGACAGAAACATCTAACAGACAGGTGTATACTGACCAAAACACACAGAGTTGACCAGAAAGGGTACTAGCCAGCTCTGTCCTGGAAGCTCTTTAGCAACACTAGTATGGCACTCTGCCCTGATGCTCAGCAGGATTTGTTAATTTGGGCGCAACATTTCCCTAATGAAGCTGTACAGCTTTTGTACCCAAGCTGGCCTTCAGCCAGTCAGCCTCCAGTTTGGCAGAGGAGCTTCTGCCTTTTTCAGTAGTTTTTTGCACTTGTCCATCAAAAGATAATTAGCAGCTTCTGTGCTAAATAATGATGGCACTGCTTCTTCTTCCATCAAACCAGGTGTAAGTTATTGCATGTTTTTAAAATGTACTATTAAATAGTATTTCCCCCCATGGAAAAATTGAGGCCTGCTGCACCCATCTGTGGAGACATGCCCATTAGCTTCCAGGCAGTAGAGGCTGGCCAAAATGCTAACAGGCAAAACTGGCACGTAAAAGTACACATGAAGCCAAATTACAACAGCAAGCAAAAATACCAGGACTGCTTCTGACTTGGAAAAAGGAGGTTCTTATCTTGGGGATCTTCTATTGCTTCAGGACATGATCTAGTTCTGACAACATTTTTCACAGTAGAAACATGGTTTCACAGGTCAACAAAGTGCTTCCAAAAATCAAGCAAGCCATACAACACAATTCTCTGCATGGCTCTGCAAAGCTCTTCAATTTATTTTCATCTTGCATAATTTGATACTAGGGCATAACTGTCTACATTTAGTGACAAGAT